CCCTGGCGTGGAAGCAAAATACCAAACAGATTTGGAGGCAGTAGAGGATTGGATATTTGAATTTTAAAATGTAGAGGCAAAGCCAGATAGGGGTGATGAGATGGTTCAAGGTGAGACCGTAAGAGTTGGTCGATGACATGAAGTGGGAGTCCAGATCCCTGGAGACAAGAATGTCAAGGAGCTGAGAGGCTCAGTGTTGAAGTCATTCCTAACACTGGTAGGAGCTGGAAGGACTGGGGTCAATGCTGGAGTAAATAGTGGGGTCAAAGGGGAGTTGACGGGCAGTCTGTAGGACACCAGACTAAGCGTAGATAAAAAGGAGTTCAGAGGAGCTTTCTGGGAGTGAGAAAGAAGGCTTGGAAAGAGTGGGTGGAGCTGTGGGAGAAAGAGCCTGTCATAGGATAAGGGTCTTCTGGGAAGGGGTAGAAGCTACAGAGAAGAACTGAGTGAATCAGGAACAGATCACTGACCTCAGGGAGCACAAGGCAAGGGTGACTAGAGGGAACAGCTTAGGCGTGAGAGGATACACTGTGTGATATATCCAGGTGCTCACCCTAGATAATGCAGGTAGGAGACTGACCACATGCTGTCTAAGTGAAGCGGTCCCAAATCGTCCTATGTCTGAGGGCAGGTGAGAGGAAGGTTCAGGCCTCTGGCAAGGATTCAACAGAGGCCAGCTGGAGGAAAGCAAGCTCTGGCCCAAAGAAGAGGCCAGAGGTAGAATTTTTGCCTCCCAGTATTCCTAAAGCCGCCTTCATTTTAGGGGGAACTAAGCACCCTTGAAGGAAAAGCCGCTCTGGCCCAAGTAGATTTGGGGAACTCTAAAATCCCAGGCTCCAGGTGGAGGGACACTAGGCATTTCATGTTCCACTCAACAGTTAACTCCTTCATTCACTCTTTAATCCGTTCACTTATTCCTCAAACCTACATCAGTTGCTTCTTCCCTTCCTTTCTCATCTGAAAAGGTTTAAGGTGTTCATATTCGCACTGACAATGTGCCAGGCCCTGAGCAAGGGCTTTAGAAATATACAGCTCCCTGACTATAATTCCTTTGCCATGTTGCCTTCTATTACAACAAAATTTATCCTTCCAGCATGACCTAGACCGAATTTCACCTCCTCCCTAAAAACTAAATCATATTGGCCATCAACTGTTCTCTTTGGAATTCTTTTACTGCTTATTCTCGGAATCACATATTTTGCTATATAACTATATTTTATTCTAGCTTACCCTGCCTGCCCAGTGAAACTGTAAGCCCTTGGGTATGGACAATTAGCACATGCATTTTAAGTATCTCTAATATCTACTAAAGTACTAAAGACATAGTAAGGCCTCAACATCATGAATTACATTCTAAAGAGACGTGCCCCTCTGCAACAGAGTGGTTCTTGATGATGCACTATAACCAGGCCTAATAATGAACTCTGAGTTTCTCAGAAACACTCATTGGAGCATGAACAGTTTAAATTACAAGGTCAGCTCCAGAAAAGACAGAAGATAAGATGTAAAGAGCAAGAGTAGCAATTTACATTTGTTCTCACCAGACTAAAAGAATACACTATAATATAGTGTCAAGTGAATGCTGGAGCTTTGGAAAGTAGAATGTTACACAGACATATTTTGTTGCACCCATTTTAGGTTTCCAAGAAGTGTTAGGATTACGCAGGTTTCTCTCTTGGTATGAGCAACTGCTTAGCAAGACAAATGTCAGATTCTAGAATTTGACCCTAGGACACTTTTCCAATACAGTGATCAAGTGACCTAGTTCAAGAAAATGCCAAATAAATGTCACGATTTCTCATTCAGCTGTCATTTTATGGGTAGGAGAGCAAGTAGGAGGAAAAGGGGAATATTTAGAAGTTCTAAATGGGGCCTTTAAAATGCCAATGTGGAGATGTAAGAAAACTGGTTCCCAGCATAGTCTTCCCTTGACCAAATTTACTTTTTTCATTGCCCATCTGACAATGTTTCCAATTCCTATACCTTATTATCACTAAGCTTTATTTTTCTGCATCTTGTTGTTTTCTTCTATGATTATGTTCTTCCTATTTTATGCTTATTTTCTCCTTATAATCTCCTCTGTCTCCATCTCCAATGTTTAAAAGATATGTCTTTCTGATTTTAACATTTTTATTTCAATGCCCAAAGTGTAGCTTTTAGTGAGAAAAAGACTTGGTTTGCACCCCAGGGGCCGGGGCAGCGATTCTTTATAAGTGATTGCTCTTTCAGGTTCCAGTACTTACAATCTATCTGCCCTGACCCAGTATTTCAATAGCATCACACAGAAAGTACCTTTCTGGTGCATCTGGAACTCCCAGAATAAAAGAACATTAAAGCTGGTAATTGTAATGCTTAATTTCATTATAATCTTAGATCCATTAATAGATTGTCCATGTACAAAATGTTTTAATATGCAGCGTGCAGTGCTTGCAGCTTTCAGTTTGCCAGAGGTTGTTTTTGAGCATCTACCACTATGTGTGGCAGACACTGGTCTACAAATACAGACAGAAATTAGCTGCATTCCCATTCTCTGCTCCTGTGGATCTCATAGTACTAAGGATAAAACGAAATTTGGCATAGAATCTTCCATGACTGATCTGGTTTCCATTCCGCCACCCTTCCTGTGTGAAATGCTTCATTTTGGTTGTGGGGGGGGGGAGGTGGGCACAAGGAGTGGCCTCCTATTTTAACCAGGCCTAAGGACCCATGAGATGGGCAACATTTGTAAAGCATCTGTGGAAAGCAGGGAACCATTCAGGCACATCAACTGCCCAGAGAGTTGAGAAGCTTGAAGCCCAGCAGGCCTGGGCTGTTCTTGTTCTCCCGCTCTCTACTGGGCGGCATTCTTCCCTTGCTATACCCCAACTTGGATTGTCAGCCTCAGGTTCTGAGAGGACAGAAGTTTCTCATTCTCCTTAAACATCATCCACTACTTTGAACACTTATTGAACAACTACTAACATCCAGACAATTTGAACATTCACCGAGCAACTACTTGGATATAGATGCGTTACATACATTGTCTTATTTTTACAAACCTGTGAACTAGATGTTTTTGTTACCCCCATTTTACAAATGCAGAAACCCAGATTGAAAGAGGTAGAGTATGGGTCAATGCAGTGGCTGCAAACTGGATCTACATTGACCGTGTTTTAAAACAAAACTAACACCCCACACTGTCCCTCTCTGGGAGTCTCTGCATGGTTGTCAAGCCAAGCAGGGGAAGTGACAAGCACTCGCAGAACGTCATTCATTCACTCACTTATTCATTCAACAAACGTTTTCCTGGTAGAATGGTACCAGCTTAAAGGAGGTAGTTTCTGAATTCAGGGCCAATCACATAAAGGAGACACATAGCGATCTAATCGTTCAAATGTTGAACCTCTTTTTCCATGTGTCTTTCTAATCATTAAAAAAAAAAATCCATCGTTATTTGTATTATCTTTAATAGATACTGAATCAGCTTTCTTTTAACCGAATAAATGCAACATTAATCCCAGAGGTAACATTGGATTCATGTGACATTGTTTCAGAATCCAAACCTTCTGCATCATCTTTCGATTATTTTTTTTTTTTTAAACAGCGTATACAAATAGTTGTTCCTTGCTCCAATAAAGATACCGGAAAATCCAAATTCACAAAACAGACAGGATATGAGGGAGTATTAATTAGCATGGGAAACATCCTCCCTTTACAAAACAATCCACTGTTCCTTCAAAAGGCCTAACAGTGAATCAATGCTGGTATTAATAAAGAAATCACTGGTCAAAGAAACAGAAAGAGCGAGAAAGCCATGTGATGTCCTAGGAATTACAACAGAGATAAGCAGAGCCATGGGCATTGATTTACGAAATTGGGACTTAAAGACAACTTTTTGGAACAAAAAGTTGGGCACGGCCAGGAAAGGAACCTCCCATTTGTAATCCCTCATGCTGTAAGGCTTTGTGAAAAGAATGTGGGGGTGGAGGGGAGAGGTGATCTACTTGGTTTTCTAAATTTTTCTGGGATTCATTTGCTCATGCATTCTGCTACGTAAAAGAAAACACATTTTCGACTAAAGTCTCGTATCTTATCAACAGTTTTCCTGCTATTAACCAACAACGTTACAACAAGTGCAACAAACTGAACGGACTTCTTGATAATCTTTCCTTCTCCAGCCAATCCATCCTATCACCTTCGGCCTGGCTCCTATCCTGCTTTTCAGTTTACACTTGTACCTCGGCCCTTATCAGCTCCTCACAAGATTCTAGGCTGCTATTTTAATACTCTGTTGCTATTTTAAATCGGGTCGCACCAGTTCTTAGCCTTGGTAAGAGAGGAGCTGCACTGGGCTGCGCTCTAAGTTGCGCGACCACACACAGGGGAGTAAATGGACACGGTGACTTAACCGCCATCGCGCGCTTAAAAGCGGCGGGGCCGACCAGGCGTCCGGGCGCACGCGCAGCGCCGCTCAGTGGCCGCTCCGGGTGCCTTCTCCCTGCCCCGCCGCGTCTCGCCCGCGCGGGCTCCACGCGCAGCCTTAATAGGCTCCGAAACTTCGATCAGCGCTCCGACGCCCGAGAGGGCTCTTCCTTCGGCCCTGTCACTCCTACAATGGAAGGGCGGCCGTCTCCGGAAGGCTGTCCCAGCCCACATCCTCTATCCAGCCGAGCCCCGCTCGGGCCCCAAAGACGCGTGGGTCGCCTGGCGGCAGCGGGTTCAGCCCCGCCCGCACCGGAAGTCCGCGCGTGCGCGCTGGCCAGCCGGGAGCGCGCGTCCGGCGCAGAGGGGCGGCGGGGGCGGGGCCGCGGCCGCTCTCAGGGTGTCCCCGCCCCCGCCCCTCGGCGTTCCGCGGTCGCCGTGACAACCGGAGCGGCAGCAACGGCGGCGGGCGCGCGAGTCCGGCGCCGCCTCTCGGCGGTACTGCCAGCCAGGCAGCAGCCGCCCGGCCTCCGCGCTCTCCCCGCCTCCTGGCCCGCGGGGAGGGACGGGCCCGCCCTCCGCCCTCCGCCCGCCCGCTGGAGAGTGAGCGGCGCCCAGCCGCCCAGCCAGCCCGCCGTTCTCCGGCCGCCGTCAGGGCGCGCGCAGCAAGCGGGCGCGACTATGCCAAGATGGTCCTGCAGGCGCGGAATAAGCACCGGGAGGCGGCTCCCAAGCCGCCCCAGCCGCCCCGCGCCTCGCAGTCGCCGCTGAGGGGGGCGCCGGACGTCGGCGCCGGGGAGCCCGGGCCCGAGCGCGCGCCCCCGTCCCCGGGGCGCAAGGGCGCCGCGGGCAGGAAGGGGCCCCGCGCCGAGCCCGCCGCGCCGCCCGCCGGGGGTGGCCTCGGGGGGCGCCTGGCGGCCCGATTGCGCGGGGCGCTGGGCCTGCGGCGCGCGGGGCGCGGCCGGACCTGGACCACGCTCCTGTTAGGTGAGCAGCCCGAGAGCGGGCGCCGCCGGGACGCGGAACTTTGAAGCGCGGGTCCCCTCCCCTCCCCTCCCCTCCCCTCCATTTCCTTTCCTTCCCCTCTCCTCTTGCTTCCGCTGCGCTGAGCCCCGCCGACCGGACCCGCCAGTTTGCAGCCCTCTCCGACTTTTTGTCTGGGACGTTCTTACCTTCTCCTCCACCCCTTCACTCCCTGGCTCAGCCCTCCTCGCTCGCTTCCCACCCGCGCTCTGACTGGGCTTTAAAAGAATGGCCCGGGGATCAACAGCTGCCCGGCCTGGCCACGGGCGGCTGGTCTGCGCTAACGAGACTTGGGCGCTGCTGATTGGTGCGTCCGGCCGCCTTCCCGTTATCTTGGCCCCTGACCGCCAGGATGGTTTGCTTTGGCTTGGAAACGATTCAGTGGAGCTCTAAGCAAACGCACATTCCCTGTCCTAGAGAGTTGCTTAAAGTTATAATTAAATTTTAGCGTGCTTTTTTCTTCTTGGCCGCAGATGCCTCCCGTGGCACTTTGTGATTCCCCTCGACACGTCACTTTCCAGGTTCTGTCTGTGGTGTTTGGGGCGCACGAGCCTTAATCCTCCCTGCTGGCCTGGGAACGTTTGGTGGAGAGGGCTCTCCTCCCCTCCCTCTGCCATGCACCAAATGGATGCTGTGTAATGATGTGCTGAAAAATATAAAGTTGAAGCATTCATATGTTGCGAACTGAGATCAGGTTTCCTTTGTTTCCTGATTGACATTTCAATAAGGCAAGTTATAGCAGTTTAGATAACAGGCCTAATTTTTGTAAGTCAACTAGTGAAATCCTGTAACGTTGCTTTTTCTGTATGCCTCAGTGGGCTGTTGTTACTGAACTATTTAATTACTGGTGGTTTATCCCTTAGTATATTTTCAAAAATCTCTTAGTGACCCAAAGTCCCCTTAGCCAGGAGTCGGGGTCCGGTATAAGCCGAGGAATAGATCACAGCAAATTGGCTTCCCCTGTGATCACAGACACCACCAAAAGCCATTCAATCATAAAAAGCCACTCATCTCTGTGTGTATGTTTTAATGGGCTCAAGAAGGTTGTTCTTAGGGTGCTTTTTATTTTCTGTTGCAGATTCAAGCCTAGAAAAACTCAGGTTTTTGGGTTTTTTTTTCCAGCACATTTACACTCCCCCCCCCCCCCACACACACACTTTTTTTTTTCCAGTGGAGAGCTTGAAAAGCTGGCTAGTGTGCAGGTTAGAAAAGCTCACCTTGGGGAGGCAGCACGATACAGTGGATGAGGCAGAGCCTTCAGATCTAGTACACAGCGGTTCAGTTTGGTTTAAGTTTCAGGTTTCTTCCTTTGTGAGTCTTTCCTTCTCTGCTAGTGGGGGGTTATCACATGGCGAATTTACTCCATAGGGATGTGCTAAGGATCATGACTAAAAGGAGTGGGTGATACATGGGAAGATTCTTTGTGTTTAGAGCACTTGACACATTGTAGTTGCTGTAATAAAAGCAAATGTGTGATACCGATTTAAGATCTGATGACAATGAAGTTGCATTTTTATTGAATGACTAATGTAAACATTAACCACTTTGTAGTAAAATACAGAATGGCATTGCTTCTTCAGGGATATTACAATAGCAAATCTTAGAATAATGATATTTATTGCTATTTTCTGCATATTTTCTTTGATTGCATTTCCTTTTAATCTTCTTTGGATGGATGCATGACTTACATTTGGATGACTTACCTTTGGATTTGGTAATGCCCATAACTCAATGCAGTTTTGTATTAATGTAACAGTATAGCACGTTGCTTGACTTGCCCCTTTGAGCATTTAAAGGTGGTACAGTGAATGTGGTAGACCGTATTCTTGGTTGTACCCTGGACCATGGCCATCAGAGGTATGGAAGTTGGATGAACAGACTCAGGTCTAGAGACTTTCTGTCGTTGTTAACCCTCTGCATGAAGCCTCAGGGCACCTTGAGAGATGATTCTGCTGAATGGACCTTGGTTGCTTCTTTCTCTGGTTCTCTGCTCTCTTAGACTGATGTCAGACCTGTTTCTTTCCCACGATTGTGCCCTGCCACAGCATCAGAAAACCAGTCAGATCCTGCAGAGAGGAGCAGAGTTTAGACATTTTTGAAAGCTGCCTTATTTCCTGTTTTCTTCCCTGCTCCCAGAATGAGTGAGAGTTGAGCTGACATTGTACAGTATTTTAGTATGGTACTTTAAAATAGCTGTTTGGTTTTCGACAATGAGAAGCCTTGCATATTCTTTTCTTCATCAAGAGTTCATTTGTAACTGATCAAAAAAAGAACAATTATAACAACGAAATATTAAGCTAGACAAAAATTGATTAATTTCTATTTAGAAAGTAATTTTGTAACTTGACGCTCCATGATAGAAGCACACATTTTTAAGAGTAAGAAACTGACTAGGGCTTTCCTCCGTAGGTTCTAAGCACTGATGAGGAACTCACTGCCTACCAACATGGTTTTTCCACGTTGGGCAGTGTTAAGCATTGTTTAAAAGTCTGTTTTTTGTATGTTTGTTTTTGTTGTTTTTTGAGGTGAAGTCTCGCTCTGTTGTGGAGTGAGAGGCTGGAGTGCAGTGGCTCACTGCAACCTTTGCCTCCTGGTTTCAAGCGGTTCTCCTGTGTCTGCCTCCTGAGTAGCTGATTTTTGTATTTTTAGTAGAGATGGGGTTTCACCATGTTGGTCAGGCTGGTCTCGAACTGACCTCATGATTTGCCTGCCTTGGTCTCCCAAAGTGCTAGAATTACAGGCATGAGCCAACATGCCCTACCTGAAAGTCTATTTTAATAAATACATCTTTTTCTTATTTGGGGGCATTATTTGCTACTGATTTAGTGGTAACATTTGTAAAGAGCAGTTCTTGACAAGTTTAGTTTTAGAAGTTTCAGCCGGATAGCTTCTTCATGCAGAAGAGGCAGTGACCTAGTAAGAACCTTGACAGTGTTTCCCAGACTTTTTTTCTGGCCACAACCCACATTGTAAACAATACACTTTATATTAAACCTGTTCACACTTCCAAAATGCAACTCAGTACATATATGCATATGTCTATATGTCTGTTGATCTATTTATGTATGCTAGTGTTATGTCAGGAAACAATGGAGTATTTTCAGAAGAGTGGGCAGGTTTAAGGAACCTACAAAAGATTGAATCAGCATCCAAGGGTTGTCACCAATAGGAAGGTGTTATCACCTCTGGACCTGAAGGGAAAGGGGAGCTTTATCAGAGGCTGCACTCAGAGCTGTGCTGCTGGGGCAAAGTCACTCCAGAAGGGTGACTCCAGGCACTCACCCTGCACCCTCTGGTCTACCTCTAGTGTCTCTCACTGGCCGAAGCTAATGGAAACCCTTGGGGAAGGGGCACAGCTAAAACACTCTGTAGCTTTGGCCTCTTGGGGTTGAGAACAAGGCAGAGAAGGGAGAAGAATGGATTTGAAGAGGTAAATGGAGACTGACTAGCACATATATGCATATATTTAAAACAAAAGTTTCACGTAATAATATTTAACCTTATAATGTGTAGTACATTCTGATTTTCTATTCTTTTTAAAAAAATTTTTAAACCATTAAATTGATTTCATGATCCAGTGTTGTGACCCACAGTTTGAAAACACAGGAACTATTTTCTGATTCTATAACCTGTTTTAAATTAGTTGGGTGCCTGAGCAAAGCATTTAGTTTTCTGAGCCTCAGTTTGTGCACATGTAAAAGGAAAGACCTGGACCAGAACGGGGCTTCTCAGTCTTAGCTGTGTACTAGAGTCTCTTGGAAACTTTAGCACAGCTTGGTATCCAAGCCACACATCAAACCAGTTAAATCTGAATCTGGGATGGGGGAGGTGGTGGCAGTGGTGATGGTGAAGGGAAGCTATCAGTAGTTTTTAAAATTTAATGTCCTGCCTCTTTTTAATAGTAGATGTCTAGCATCATTGAGCTGATGTGCCTGCATGGCAACAATCTGCGAGCACTATGTAAATCTCCCCATCCCCCATGAGGACATGACACAGACAGTCCAGTTTACCACAGCTTCTCCTGATCTCTACCTTTTCCCCAAAACTGGAGCTGTCAGTTGCCATTTATCACCTGATAAGGCCATTCTTTTAATTAGAGTTAAGAAAAGAGGGAGGCGTTTGTTTGTTTTGTTTGTACCCCTGTGTCTTTTGAAAAGAGAGAGGACAAAGTGTAGCTGGAGAAGGCTCTGTGTTTCAAGGGAAGATGGCAAAGGTACTTTTCTTTATGGTAGTAAAAGATTTACCCATTAGACGTGCAAACAAAGCATGTCTGTTGAAAGACTGTAACCTGAGGTAGTTACAAAACAATAAAAAAAGAACCTGAATATGGAAAAAGTGGGTGATAAAAGCTACCTTTCCCCCTTTTACATCAGTCCTGCTTGACTCATTTGCATTACCCACCTGGTTCGTGTGGTCAATGGCAAGGGCTATAACCTGGTTTTTTATTGACAGGGCTTTGCAACTTCAGCATTGTGGCATTTGGGTGGGAGTATTTTTTGTTGTTGTTGTTGTTGTTGTTGTTGTTGTTGTTGTGGGGGCTGTCCTGTGCACTGCAGGATTTTAGCAGCATCCTTAGTCTCCAGCTACTAGATGCCACTATTACTCCCCAGTAGTGACAATGAAAATGTCTCCAGATATTGGCCATTGGGAGGCAAAATTGCCTCATTTAAGACCACTACTTTTATTCTCCACAACTTATAAGAGCCTTGAAGCCCATACGATCAGAAACACTTGTGACTTCTTAGAAGCTGAAGTGGTCAGAAACTGGGTGGAGGCAGAGAGTTAAATCAGCTGTTGGGGACTAGCTGGGTGGAGCACTGTGGTGTGGTGGAAGCAGCACAGCCATTTCAATACTAGCCTGCATTTGAATCCTGTTTCTGCATTCAAGCTGTTCTATACTCCCTTAATGTTTCTCACTGTTAGTTGCCTCGTCTTTAAAATGGGCATAATAAGTGCTTTGTCTGATAAAGAATAAACGAGATAATACACGTAAAATAATGCAGTAGGTTCATTCATAGTCATACCATATCACTGAGTACCTCCTATGTCGGATGCTAGTTGTTGGGAATAAGATGTAGAATGAGACTCTGTAACCCCTATCTTCATGGAACCTACATTCTAGAAGCAGGGATGGTAAATAAATGAAAATAATTGCACATTGTGAGTGAGTATACTGCAGGAAAGAAATAAGCTGAGATAGAAAAAAACAATAGGAAATACCCACTTTAAGTAGGGTCAGAAAAGGCCTCTGGGGAGGTAGCCCTAAAGCTGAGACCTATACAAAGAAAAGATGTCAGCTGTACAGGGGAAAAGAGAGTATTGTGAATAGCATGTGCTAAGGTAGGGCAGAGCTTAGCATGTTGATAGAAGAGAT